AAAAATATAAATGAAAGCTAAGATAAATCCTATCATTGGCACAAGTCCAAATGTTATTCTCCATGGGTCTACATGCTATGGAATAATTTGTCCAAATGTCAGTTGTAATTTTCAAAATGCCTTTCTTGCCATAGATTCTTAAACATCTGTAACAAATACTTGTTTTGAGAGCGCTTTACATTTGTGACATCTGACCTTTTGCTATATGCCCCACAAAATTCAAGTTTCAAATACCACGCAAGCAGGAAACCTGATCATTCCAGCAGTAGCCATCTGCATGGTCCAATATCAAATATTAGTTCTGGGTTGCACAATGTCATGTGTTACAAATCTGTTTCTGCAGCTTCTATAATTAGTTGTAATTTGCTGCTTCTAAAATGTGTTTCTTATGGGACATCTGGCCTCAAAACTTCTACCTTAGCACTGAAAAAAAAATACTTAGTGTTCTGGATGTTTTATTTTTTAAAAATATAAAGCAATACATGGGTGGCATAACTAGGACCAGGCTTCTTTAAAAAAAAAAGATTCACATTATAGTATATATACAAAAAAAATATCAACATCATATTAAGAAGAATAACGCTGCACTTCTGCATACTTTATCTTGAGAAAATACCACTGCAGTCAATGCTTTTTTTCAATAAACATAGACTAGACAGCAAGACTTTCTATACAGAGATTTGGTTCTCGTGTACATTTTACAGGATAATCATAGAAATGCAACAAGAATGATTACTGAAGGAAAATAGGCTTAAAAGTATAGGTTATCACTCTCAGGAGCCAATGCTTAAATAACATATATATGCTTCATATGCTACTTCATATATTGCCTATCTTTCTTTTATCTTCTTTTTAGGTATTTTATTAATTTTCTAGTTTTACAATCATAAGTACTTAATAAACAACATGTTGTCTGGGTCCATTAGTAATTCAATGGTATATATTAACTTCCTCAATCTAGGTACAATACTACACCATCCAGGGCTTCTTCTCTTCTTCCGATGGTATACATTTTCCGTATTGGGCAAATACAATTCTTATTGCTGTTAATACATATACAAATGAATATTAGCACCTTTGTTACATTTTTCTAATATTATATATAATATCAGTAGTGTCAATTTAGAATATATTTTCTAACCAAAACATATCTCAATTGCATTTGTAATTAATATCCATTTGTTCAATCAATATCCTGCTTTTCCCGCTTTTTAAAAAAAATTGATTTCCCATCAGTGTTCAAAGTGTCTCTATCGCTTATTATTTTCTCATAATAAATTATATTTGGGCAACCAAAGGCTTCCCTTGTTCAAACCCTCTTAGCATTTTCATATTTCCCTTCTCATACCAAAATATAAAATTCTAGTTATAAATCCTGTCTTTCTAGTTCTAATAACACTTCTATTTCTAACAATATTGTTAAAATTGTTGTATTTCCTCAGTAAAAGCAAAGTCTGAGTAATGCTTTTAATTTAACACATTTCTTGTATACTTTTATAATTGTTCCTTTGCTGCCTTCCTTTGATTAATAGATTTTGTCCATTAAACTTCCATGGAAATGTCTAAGCTGCAAGCCACCTAATAATAGTAATAATCACATTTTTTTCAGTTGATAGCTATCGAAATTCTTGCTATTACCATCCTTCCCATCTTATGTTGTACCATTTTATATCAATGTCCACAATCTACACAGAATTCCCTTGTAAAGGGGCCAATCCACTCTTTCTAAACATTTAATTTTGTTATTTTTGTCTTGAGAATACAGTACATGAAGGGGAAAAAAGAAAGCTCTAACGAATTGATAATTAAAAGAAAAGTATATGCGAGAGAGAGGAATGATAATCCAGAGTTCAATTGCTGATTTAGAATAGTACAAAATATGTAGAACAAGGTCCATCTTCATCCTCTTTTCTGTCCCCAACAATGGTATGCTACTGGATCACAACAAAGCATGAGTTATGGCCTTTTAGCCCTAGCATCTGGATTTAAGTTTTATACCGCATTGAAACTTCTTGTTCAAATGCGAAAACAAAGAACTGACTCTTTGGCCAACAATAAATAATAGATGTATCATCTATAAATTAAAGAAAAATCTTATAAAAGCAGTTTATAAATTTTAGGGCAGTAAATTCCATTTAGTTAGTTAGTAGACTATGTCTAACTATTAGACATTTCTCATTAATTTACTCCCTTCAGTCTCTGCAAATATGATGTGTGTGTGTGTGGGCACGGAACTAGAAGATGATTCAGAATACATTCCTTAAGCAAACGTTGGGCCAGGAGCAGCAAATCTTTAAAATTAAGTGCTGGTAGTCCTCCACTTATGACTGGTCACTTAGCTCCATCCCCCTACCTTATGGTCACATCATCACATTTTGGGCATTCAGCAACCTGTCCACATTTATGACAGTTTGCAGCATCCTGTGGTCTTGTGACCGCAATTTATAATGATCTTTGTCAGAAACCAGTAAGTGTTTCTAACGAAGTGTTTACTTCATTTCTTGCAAACAAACAAAACGACCATTAGCTAAAAAAGGGTTCTCTTAACAACCACTGCAAAAAAGGTCATAAAATCAGCTCCGGTCACGTGATGACCCAATTAACAACCAGCACAACTTACAACTGTAATTATGGATTCAATTATGGTTGTAATTCAAGAATTACCTGTAATGGATTTGACAATTAGGCCCCCAATTCACCATTTATTCAATTTGGGTAAATGGTGGCTTCCTCTTTTTTTAGAATCTGGCTCTTAATTTTAATAAATTAGATACATGCATTAATGCATTTCCAATAAATTATTGCTGACTATATATTTACCTCATTAAAATGATAAATCTGGAAGAATCATCTACATTTACTACTGGAAATAATGCACAACTGCACAATTCCATTATTTCACAGGTGTGAAGACAAATTCTTACAAGGTCAAAAGCAAACAACTTAAATCCAGATTAGTTCATTATAAGCTTTAGACACAAAAGACAGCTGGATGACTTTGGGCCAGTCACTCAACTCACAGTGTTGTTGTTGTGGGGACAATAGGGGGAAGAAGGAATATCAGAAGTGTTAGCCACTTTGAGTTGTTTATAAAAATAATAAAAGCAGGATATAAAATGATACATAAGGGACATATAGAGATTATCCCTCCCACCAAAAGAAAGCAGATTAAAACAGATTGCACCACAAGACCAGGAGAAAATGGTGCAGGAATTTGAAACTTGATTTCACTATAAGTAGAGCTTGATCTGACATATAGCAATTGCTGAAATTCTTTCATAATGAATACAGTTTTGCAATAAACCTATCAACATTTGAATCCTTAAATCTTTGCTTCTGACATTTCCAATTGTGGTGTTTGCCAAAAAAATCCTTGACAACTCAGTTTCAGCATGCTTCCCAACCATTGAGTATGTTCAACATCAAATCAGAATATCCAGTTACTAGACTATAAAGATAAATTCCAAGTCAAGAAGATTTACATGAAATTCAAGCAATGGTACAGAAAGATTAAACTATATTAAACCCAAAATAATACTCCTGTATCTTTTCCTAATGTCACAACAATAGCCATCTCAAATAAAGAGATCCAGAGAATTAGCTGGTTAAAAAAAAAAACCTGAAAGAATTTGACTGGTCAATCCCAAACTATTGCCAGTTCAGCAAAAAAAAATGGTACCAAGTGCTTTGAGCGAAAACATAATTTTCCTGAACTTTCAATCATAATTTCACAAAAGTTGTAAAACGTTCTTCAAAATTCTAAACATAAGATTACTAACAGAAAACACTTTAAATAACAACTACCAATATTAAGAAGCCATATGACTCAATTCACACTGTCTTACTTTATTTGGGCTTGCCAATTTTTACCTGTAGTCCATCCTTTAACTTCAAGATACACTCCATTGTATTGATTGTAATCACGACTGGTTCTGAACCAAGTTTTGTCCATGGTACATGAATACGCAATTCGTGAATGTGTCCACTTAAAAAGGTAAATGGCAATTTCAGCTCCTTGAAAATTAAAGTACATGAGATAACTGAGTTAGCTATTAAAACCCAATTTAAAGAAAATGAGTTGTTTGAACACCTACTTACAATTATCAAAACTTAGTTCAGCATATTTCTATTTTAAAAACTAGCAATATTCACACACTTCAAATAATTTGTTGCAATATGTTTTCCATTCAAAATAAAGAACTGGATTCCAGAGAATTCACAATTCCACGGATTGTTTGGATTTTATAATTGATGCTTGAAGTTTCAAAAGTAAAAGTGCATAGCTTAAAAAATCTGAAATATATTAACCATGTACAGCTACCATGATTTCTGCTGATGAATGGTTACTAAAAGAACTGCTTACAGCATCTTTCAGAAAAAAATCCCATTTAATATAACCCTTCAAGAATTTTAGAGTAATATAAGTTAGACATTCTACGTAGGCACAAGAGACTACAAACTACAACTCATGTCTCAGTATATGAAATTTTCTCTAAAGCAGAAATTCATATGAATCATATATTTATTATGGATATGCATTCTTTGTTGGACTGAGAGACTAAATAAACAAGACATAGGAAAGCACCATTTCTGTCTTATTGATATTGTCCCTATGAAAAATGAGGTTTCTAGATGACAGCTAAATTCTTAGAAGTATAAGATATACTAATAAAGCAAAGTGGTGGGTGTATGTGTATGTCAAAGAAGAAAATACTGTACAGTTACTAAAATAACTGAAGAATTACCACCTCTCAGTATCAATAATTAAACATGAAATAGTAAATATAATGCAGCACTTAAAGCTGAGAACCCAGACAATAAGTTATAGCTGCAATTGCAATTTTAATCTACAATATATTATGTGAGATGTTTATGCTCTTTTTGCTGACTTATGAGAACTTTTGTATTTATATCCATTGCTCGATAACCGCCCATTGATTCAAATGTAAGTTTTAACAATAACCAGTTCACATGTCAAGAAAGAATAAATATTAGTAGCAATAAGTATTTTACAGTATAGCATTAATACTTCAATGTACAAAATGTTAATTTAGAACATTTTAACAGAATTAGATTTTTAAAAGTGTTCTGGCTACATAGTATTATCAAAGTGTTCTGGCTACATTAATTATCAAAGAATGGTTATTTATTCATATAATGGAAACTGTAGCCTATTTCAATATTTTAATGAAAAATTTGCATAATTTAACTGAAATCCTTCCAAAATTATCACATGTATTATGTAGATATGTGTTTAGACACATGCAGTATTTATCAACATAACAAAGACATAGGAAATATTAATACATTATATCATATAGTTATAATATATAGTATATATTGTATCTAATAATATTCTCAGACTATTATCATTAAGAATAAAGTATTTTAGGATAAAGTTTTAAGACTTAATCAAAATAATTACAATTATAACATACCTGTTCAAGAACATCAAGTTTTAGTTCAAGTTTGCTGAGAACTACATCTCCTCCCCAGAGTGACAACTGTAAATCAGAGGGCTTCAAATTCTTGATATAACGATTCACATAACTCATTAGAATAGGAGTTACATAGGATTCCAGCATTGTGCCTTTATTGACAAGAGCCTTTTAAGAAAACATATTGTAACTTTAGTATACATAATAATTTAGGATTAGCTGTGTATTAAACAAAAGCTCATGGATTTAAAATGCTATACTGTACTCTAACACTTTGGATCAATATATATTTACTTGAAAATTTAATGCAATATATAAGTAGGTATTAAAAAGTAAAAGTAAATCCAATGGAATCTGTGGCTTTGTCAGCTAAATGATAGTAAAGATATTGCTATTATATGTATATATCTAGCAAACTACAACTATATTTGCTCCAACAAAACCTCTTCCCCTTTGAACCCCCCTCCACTACCTGCATGTCTGTCTGTGTTTGTGTATACAAACACACATACATACACAATCATAGCCATCAAACAATGACTTTCAGAAAATGAGGCTGCAATTAAAAGGATTGCAACCAGCATGATGTCTTCTTCCACACATCTTCCACACAAGCCAAAACTAAATTTCTGCATTTGGGTTTAATGTTTTTTAATTCAGTCAATGATTTAACTCCATAATATTGGATTGCAATGTACAGCAAATTAAATGTTAGTACTTTCTGTAATCTGTTTGCTCTTAGGCAACAATACAAGTAGACTTTACGTGCAAAAAATAATTAGGGCATCAATACTGATGTACTTTGAAAAAATTTGTATTCTGCCCATAAATGATCATGATCTTCTAGTCTGAATGCAAGCAGGCAAATATTTGGAAAAATACTATAAAATAACTTTAGCACACAACACTACTGACACTGCTGTGTCTATTCCCCCCCCCCAAAAAAGTTTCCACTATATGTATCGTCTATTTGTCGCAATGTCACGACTTAGCATATCTTTCAACTCAGTTAACCACAGCTTGTTAAGAAACAAAACCGCCTACTCACACGTCATCCATAATTCATATTTTTACGGTCCACGACAACAGACCATCTCTCATTAAAGCAGCAATATATTCTCAGAAGGTCACAGGGCACACAGCAGAAAGCATGCAAACAACCATGTACCTTTCAGGGGTTCCACGGGAACCCCCAAATTCGGCGGCGGCGTCCCCCCCCCCCCAAGCAGGTCCAAGAGGCAGCAGTTTCGTACCTCTGGGGCTGAGGCTCCCACCCTTCTTTCACGTTGAACCCCCTCCTTGGCTGCCTTCGAGCGTGACACGCGTCCAGATGCGTGCTCCTGCTTTGTGTCTTCACATCTGCCTCATGAGTAATCTTCTGCCCAAGCAGCCTCCGGCTCTTCTTCTGCCCGCCGAGTCCGTTTTCTCATTAGGCCTCCACGGTCAAAAGCTGCTCTTCACAAACCGCGGCACTCCGGGCTACCCGCCGCCGGGACCCTCATTTTCAGGGTCAGCCTAACAGAAAGGCGCCGCCGAGGGTCAAAGGAGCTGCGCTCTCCAAGCCCGCCGGGACACTTCCGGGTTCCACGACAACTGGTGTTCCCTTTAAAGCCGCCCCTCACCGTCTTAGGGACAGGTTGCACGGTGACACCATCCGGCGGAAGGCATTCCGGAGGGCGAAAAGAGGGAAAGCGGGTGGGAAGCGCTAGCGCTCAGAGCCCGAGGAGGCGCTTTCTATTTCGCAGCGGCTGCCGCGAGTTCAGACAATACCACGGACTTCGGAGCATCCCGTTATTTTGGGAGCAGAGTTTTCCTGGGAAGTAATAAGCGGAGTTTTTCTTCCCTCGCGGGTGTTTCTGGTCCCGGCATTCTTCATGAAGGTTGCAGCGGAGCAGGAGAGTCCAAATCCAGGCGCGAGGGAGAGGTTTGGACCGAGACCCGCGTCGCTTTCCCAGGGAAAGCGAAGAATGAGCCGGTCTGACTCCTCCGCCTCTTCTGGCGACTTGCATTTTAAAGCACCCTCCGGCTCGGTAACTGAATGTGTGTCCGACATATTGCGAGGACCCAGAGGATTGGGGTCAGTGACGGCGTGGACGCCGGTCTCAGGAGCGTTGGCCCAACCACAGCTTCGCTTTAATGTTTGATGTAGAGAGATGGAAGGAGACTAGGGTTTCTCTGCTGCTGAAGTGCTACTGTCTTCACCTCTCTTTCAGCTGGCATGAAATGTGGACAATTTATCTCGCTTTTGTTTTGACTCACTGCTGAAGGATGCTGTCCTGAGTCTGTGGGGCAGCCGGTATAGTTGGTTAATTCCTCCAGGCGATCGTCCCTCTTTGGCGCATCATCACTTAGCACAGTGTTTCTCAACCTTGACAATTTTAAGGCATGTGGACTTCAACTCCCAGAATTCCACAGCCAGCATTGCTGGCTGTGGAATTCTGGGAGTTGAAGTCCACATGCCTTAAAATTGTCAAGGTTGAGAAACACTGATTACTGTCTTAGCAAGTGAAGCAGTCCCCAATCGCATCATACAGAAAGAACGGGCTAGGTCTGATTGCAGGATTCCGTTGTCATGTCTAGACACCATCCTGTCGTAACCTAGAGTCAATAAAGTTTAAAAGAACCGAAGTCATGAAAGGTCAAAGCAATACTTTTATTTAGAATTGTCCATTTAGGAACTAGACAACGTTGGCAATACATGCTGGCTGGAGAATTCTGGAAGTTACCTAGTTTGAAAAACACTGATTTAGAATTTCTTTCCCACTCTTGTACTTGCAACAGATGCTGCTTTCAAGATTCCTCGGTTTTCTTTGGGAGAAGCTGGAGGTACTAGATCCTGCCATTAGACCTTCAGTCTATTTCAAGCCCCAGTGGCTATTGTTGTTGCCACTTTGTCCAGGCAAGCAAGGCTGACCTGAGTCAGTGAATCAGTGTATCCACAAGGGGGGAAAATAAAGCATATAATGAAATGTGTGTCATGATGAAAATCTTGCAATGTACTTACTTGCATCAGACATTGGGATGCAAGTATGTATTTGGCACTATGACACCTCTGAACGGATGTCATTTTTGCGTCATTGTGGCTTTCTGTGGGCACAGCCACAATTGAATGGACATCGGTAATGGGGGAGGAGTGGGGGGTGGTGGAAATATATTAATCTCAGATATAAGAACAGGTTCATATAACATGGTAAACCAAAATGTAGATCTTTGGTTTTGGCTTACCATGTTATGCAAACCAAATCATTACAGTATGTTTTGACTTGATATTGTATAAATGCAGCCTAAATACTTACTGAATTGCTACTTTTACCTTACCATTTCATTCTAAAATGTTGTATAAAATCTGATTTCCTATGACCTTGTATCTCAAAGAAGAGGCAATAGAAATATTTCAAGTGCAAACAGCCAAGGTCTAAAAAATCTTGTTGCAAAAAACAACCGTCTCTAAAAGAAAAAAGTTTTATTCCCAAGTGAAGTTTTCTAACAACAAATATTAAGTACTTGCTGACTTCTAAATTTTAAATCTTTAAGGTTAGATGTCTCAGCCTCAGCAATTTTAAGATGTGTGGACTTTAACTCCCGTGCTATCTGGGGATTTCTGGGAATTGAAGTCCACACATCTTAAAGTTGCTGAGGCTGAGAAAACTGACTTAGACTAAAGCATATTTCGTCACGGAGCAAAATGTGCTAGAAGGAACTATAATAAATTGATATCAAGCAAGAATTTAAATCTATTTTCCCAGTATAAATTTATTTATATTTTATATTTCTAAACCACTCATCTCCCTGATAGAGGGGCTCTGGATAGTGATAGCTAATTCTTATTTCTTTATCCTAATAGTAAGCATTTAGAAAATATTGCTTAGATTAGGTGATTTTGTTCATTAATATATTTTTTCTATACTTTTGTAATTCAGGACAACTATTTGATTGGTTACTATTATAACAGAACCAAGAGCACTCCAGCTTAACAAAATCTCAAAAATGACTTGCATTTGGGATCCTAATTTATTTTGCTATTTTTCATGGTAAAGTCTGTTTCAGAATTAATTTCAAAGAAGCATAATTATCCTTCAACAGACATTTTGTGGCATGTTATTATTGGGATTCAAAAACCATTTGTCTTATTCAATAATTTATAAATCGACTGACTTGTCACATGCACCTGCTCCGTGAAGATGTTATAATGGTTGGATTCACACAACATCCTAAATAATAAACCAGGAATAGACAATATAGTGTCTGGAATCATGGGTGGGAGTTTTGGAATCCCGTCTTGTCCAAAATTCTATGTCACATTCATAATTTGATCCTCTATGAATCTCACTTGTCCCTTTTTAAAACCATTGAAATTGGCTGCATTAGCAAAATTGCTGGCTGTCAATTCCATAATTTTCTCTGTATAAAGCCAATACGTCGTTCTCTAAATCCTGAATATCCTGCATTAATTTCAACAAAATAACTGAGGTTCTTTTATTGCGAGACAGGAAGAAACTATTTTCTGTCTAATTGATTAATTTATTGGACTTGCAATCACAAAACTCTTGATGGTTTATAATAATCACTCTGTTCTGTGCAAAACTCTGTGTAATGCTACTTTATGCATGATTTTATATACAGGTAGTCCTCAACTTATAACATTAATTGAGTCTGGAATTATGGACATAACTAAGTTGTGCCAGTTCATTATATGACTGACCTGATTTTACAACATTTTTTGCAACAATCATAAATGCCACAGTCATTAATCAAATGCTGCGGTTGTTAAGCAAATCCACTGTTCTGACATTTTTTGCTAAAAACTCAAAGTAAATGCTGGTTTCCAACAATACAGTCATATGACCATGAAAGATTACAAATGGTTGTAAATGCAGACTAGTTGTCGAGCATTTGAAATGAAATTATGTGACTGCAGTGAGGGGGTCAGCCATCAAAACTTCAAATTCAAGTCATAAGTACCTTTAGGAGGTCCATGGTAACTTCAAACAGTCACTAAGCAACTGACTGTTAAGTAAGGACTACCTGTACTGCTATCATGTTACTCCTTTGTTCCAGAACCCCAACAGCTGTAGTTTTTCATTAGCGCTATAGAACTAGATTACTACAACGTGCTATACTGTACATTAATCCAAATGTCAGCAGCTCATTGATGGGTGACAGTTGCTGTAGTCATATTAACACCTATGCAATAGACCATGAATTGACTCCTAATAGGTCTGCAGGTGCAATTAAAAATTCTGGTGTTCACCTATAAAGCTCTAAGCTTGGCTTCTAGGTATCTCCAGGAATGTCTCCAAGTAGTATATTCTTCCTGAAACAAAATAAGCAGGTAACTTTCCATTCTGGGAAGATAAAATGGTTTGGGCTCAGGAACAGTGATTTTCTGTAATGGCCTCTATCTTGTGAAATAATAGCTGTGCTAAAAGCTAGGTTTGTACTTAACCTGATAGCTTGCCAGAAATTGGTTAAAAATGATTTTTTGTTGTGAAATATTGGGAAATCATGTAGCTTGGTGCCATCTATAATTATTATAAGTTCATTGCTATGTTGTCTAGAGTATGTTTACTCTAGATAATTTACTATGAGATTTCTATCCTTGCAAACCGTCCATGTCTCTATAACATCTGTGTACCAGTGAATTCATGTATTTTGTTCTTTATAAAGTCTATCTCATTAAACATTCCTCTTCTTTATATAAATTTGTTTTAAATTTGCTGTTTCTATAAATGTTCTGTATAACTAGTTTTTTATGTGTTGCTATTTTGGGAAAATACTGTAAGCAGTGGAATTAACTGATAATGCTCCAGGAAGAAAGATTATGATTCTCATAATTATCTATGTGTCATTCTTCTTTCAGAGCTTCATTAATCGCAATCTACTATGAATAATTTGAGTCCGAAAAGCTAACTGTAACTGAACCCAAAGGACCAATGTAATCTGAGCTTACATGTGCACCATGAAGTTATTTGGCTTTCTGCCCAACCTCCCCCCAAACAAGTGAAGCAATAAGAATGCAACCTATTGACCAGTCAGCATCTTCCAAAACATCCTATCAATAGCCTTGGAGATTTCCTTTCCAGGAGCACAGATGAGCCTTCATAAGATTCCATGGAAATTTTTGAAAATTTAAATCTTAAGCAGAGGAAGTTAAGATCAAGTGGGCAATGATTCATGAAGGGTCACATGGGACAGAACTCAAAGGCAATCCTTACAGAAAGCAAAGACCACATGTGACCCAACAGAGAGAATGAAATTTCTTTCTGCGGAACTCAGAAGTCAGCTTTAGAGTGGATTCAAGAATCACCCTTGAATACCCAAAAGGTATTTGAATAAAATGCACTCTGTAAACCAGCCTGAAAGCAAAAGACAGCTAAAGGCTGGGACTGAAACCAAAACATTCTAGAGTGAATCTTCAGAGAATGAATACACTCAAATTGACCTCCCTGTGGCCAGCTGCAATGAGAAATTAGATCTGTGTGTTTTCAGACGTTGCAAGAAAGGAGAATAGAGAACAGATGTGCTCTCTTTTTCTTCTTTCAATGGACTTCAGATACT